AACCACAGTGATGTTCAAACCTCTGTAAAATGACGAAATGCTTATTCTTTTTCCTGGTCCAATTTTAGTAATGTGAAGTTGTTTTTATTGATGACAGTTTCTGATTTCCATCTTTTGCCAGCAACTGTCTCTCAAGCTCTTGTACCTGGATCATTTGGTGACCTGTCATCTTCCTACTTATATACAGTATGTAACGACTAACACTATACAGCTCAAACCACACTAACGGTGCTGCCCATCCAGCGCCAGCGGGTATGTGTTTTGGTATGGATGTAGAATCACACATTAGTCTTGTCACTATGTTTGCCTAATCAACGTTGCTATTTATCCCATACAACTGGGGCCTGATTCTAAATGAGTTTCGACCGTTGAAATTGATTTCAATGGCGTCTTGTGACGATATACTTGATTCGCTATGATAATTTTGACACTGCCATGATAATTTCAATATAGAAGATCCATATAATCATATGGCAAAATCTTGATTGGGAATCAAGTATATCGTCACAAGGCGCCATCGAAATGGATTTCAACGGTCGAATCAAGCCCCTGATGCTGTATGGTAATAGTGTCAGCGTACTAAAGACATGTGATAATGAAAAGGATAGTCAGCCGCATACAGTATATTCAGATAAGAGATAGACCGGACATAAACAAGACCACGTGATCATCGAACGCTGTAACATTCGGCAGGGACGTATTAAGAGTCACGCAGTACATATTTTAGATAGTAGATGCTGCTTTGCGTAACTTTGTAGTAAATTAGCACAATTCGATGTGTATACGATTGGTGATGGATATAGGATCATGTGGGGGTGGGGTAAGAAATATATAATGATGTAAATATACATAAGGGTTTCAAAATTTTCGCTTCGATTTCCAGCTTCGGATGCCGCCTGATGTTTGGTGAAATACAGTCGAATATAATCTCAAAATGGCGTTTAAAATAGCCTAAATTAAAAATAATCGTATATCTCTTAAAATTGCTTTTAGAATATTGATTAGTATATTTTTTGATTTCTAGGTAAATATGTAACCAAATTAAAACGTTCAAAACGTAAAAAAATGTGCATGGTTGAACATTGTCAGAAAGTAGATTCTTGAATAGGTTTTGCCAAAATGGGTTCAAAAATGTCAATAATTAATTAAAGAATACAGTAGCTTTATAATTACTTATAACTTACCAAATTTGAAGAACGACATCTTTTATTGGAAAGATGAGCTTGATGAGCTTTCATCATCGCTACTGCCTGAAGCACCAACGTCAATAATGAATGGCTCGACTTGTTCCTCTAAAATATTGTCCAGTTCCCACATTCTCTTTTCAACTTTGTCTTTCACGTGCTTAATACAGTTTTCCCATTTTTGCGCTGTTATTAATTCTAGTGCTTCTTTGAAAAGTCCTTTGAGGTCACAAAATTTAAAAGTTGTATTGTGCTTAGCTATATAATTTTTAACCTCTGCCCATATGAGCTCAATGGGATTGAGCTCGCAATGGTATGGAGGTAAACGGAGCACAGTTTTATTTTGACTTGCTGCCATTTCGTCAATGACGTATTTTTGATATTCCGCCTTGTGATCCTTGACAATTCTTAATAATTGTACTTTCAGCATTGCTTCTTCAAAATTGATATTTTTCGAGCGGAGCCAATTTTGAACATCAACTTTCCTTGAAGCCGTTGTTGGGACCTTCTCCATTCTTCGAGAATGATAAGGCGCATTATCCAACACAATTACTGCGTTTTCCTCTAAGTTCGGTAAAATTTTTGAAAACCACTGTTCAAACGATTCGCCATTCATTTCCTCGTGGTAATCTCCAGTTTTCTTAGACTCAAAGCACCACAGACCGTCAACAACAAATCCATCCTCACTGCCAATATGGCAGATAACGAGCCTTTTCCCTTTACCTGGAAATCGAAGTACTAACTGGTGTAGATTTATTTCAATAAGCGAACCTTTTTCAAATGTTTTCATCACATTCACCGAAAAAACATTGAGACATGAGTATCAGATTGCTATAATTGGGATTATTTAGTCATATTGAAAGAAAGAATATTGAACGTCGTATGATTACTCAGCGCTTCACAATTTAATTTAAAGTTATAAACCTTTAAAAAATGAATGATCAGGAACCTGAAATACGCGCAAATATTAATATTAACAAATTATAACTTTATAAAGCTTAAAGTATGAATTAAAATGATTAGAAATATTAGGAACGGTACACAATATAAAACTTAGTAACTTTTTTTAAGTTTATAATATTCGACATATTTTAAGATTATATTAAAAAATTATTGAAATATCGAAAACACATAAAAACATGGCTTAAAAAAGTTCTAACAAATGAAAATGACAATAAAACATCCACGCATTTTATCGAAAGTTATAAAAGTTTTGTTACTTGTAATATGTTTTATCTGCCCCCTGGAATTAATGTTTAGAACCTTGTTCCCAAGGTTTGAGAAACATCCGATTGTTGTCTATTACTCGTATTTACCTGCTGGATTTTTTAATCCGGTGGACAGTCCATCTAGAAAGGCCCTCCTGGATGAAGTTACAGAATCATCAACCCATACTTTACTTGTAGTGTGTCCTGCGTTTACCCACGTTTCATCAAGGTAATAAATCTTCCTGTTTTGATTTCTATATTTCCCAATTTTCGTTAAATAATCCCTCCTCCATAGCACAATTTCTTCTCTATCAGTAGTAAACTATTACGACCCCGTTTTTTCCATTTGAAATTTAAATGCTTCAGTAACGCATGGAAAGTTGATCGTTTGAAATTTGGCAACGTTGTATCTCCATTTACCTCCTGCAGTACTTTATCTATAGTAGGTATTTCATTCCTAAAGAAGAATTCATGCACTTTCCTCCTAATCGCATGCTTATCAGCTTCATCCAATGATTTAACAATACTTTTGCGATGTTTACTGGTCATTGGCTCAGAAAAGGTGTGATTTTTTTTGTATTGTCTTAACACATTAAACACTGATGTGCGACACACCCCAACTTTGTGAGAAACCTTCACAACAATTTCTTTGATGGTTGATGCCTCGTTCTCCTCGCGCTCGATCTTATATATATTCAAAATGACCTCTTTCATTTCTGCACTCAGGTGTCTTTTTTTAGAGCGTTTCCTAGGTGGACTACAGGAGTTTACAACTTCACCGGCAGTATCTGTACTACTGGGCATTTTGCGCAAGCAGTTGATAACAATAACAATCAATAACAATCAATAACAAGGTATAACAATAACAACGACAAACTCAACAACTTAATAAGATAACAAACGAAAACGTCCAAAGAAATATCAAATTGCAATGATGCACACGACATACGTAACACGTCTGAACCTGAATGTGACTCTGCCTTGATACGACTGCTCTGCCGCTCGGCATAGGCATTTAATTGCGAATTGACCAATGAGGGCTCCTGTTTTACGTCGAGACGGCGGCGTTAGCGTGAAAATCACCCGAACCTTTTGTTTACATCCGGTCTATCTCTTATCTGAATATACTGTAGTATAACAAATACTCATAGTTCAGTTATAGCATAGTTTAAGAGACGACAGATTAAAATATATACCGGGTGTTTCAAATTCGACAATTACCATTTTGATATCGGAAACGGTAAGAGATACGAAAGAACTCAAATGGAGGCAGAGTTGCGTATTTAGGTAACTAACAAAATGGTACATATAAAGTTTGGCTATTCCGAGTATTTCCGGAGATTAACGAAATAAACTGAATTTTCCTAAAATGGTTTTTATTTGTTGATAGCTTTATTTGAGATGGGTTCTCAAAATAAAAAGTACATTGGCACTGCAATTTTTCTCTCATGTCCTCAATTATTAACTCTTTTTTTTATAGACGAAATTGAAATTTTATGATAACCATTCACGTTACGTTATGTATAATATCACAAAGCCTAGTTCATAACAACTGAAGGAACGTTTGGCTGATATTGCGAAACAAAAGACCATCTGACAATTTCAAGGCATGTTTAGGAAATACAGTCTTTTTTAATATTATAAGGTTTGGCAATGGCAATGTTTTACATATTATGCATTTTTGAAATCAGAATTGAAAACTCTATTCACCTGTATAAAAATCCAAAATGTATACGACAGAAATAAAGATGATTATTGAACACAAGAGGCGAATCGTCACCTTAAAATTCTAATTATGCCTCCTTATTGAGGAGAAAAAGTGGCAATGTTAATGTACTTTTTACTTCAAGCCAGGAAAAATAAAGACGATTTTGAGAAAATTCTCTCCGAAAATAATCTCAATTACGAAACTTTTGGATTACTATTTTTTTATTTACGTAAATCCGCAACTTTGTTCCTATTCAACCAACTCCATATATATTACCATTTCCGAGATCCCAACGGTGAGTGTCGAATTTGAAACACTTGGTACAGTAATAGCATAAAATATGTCCATAAAGCCTGTAAATTCTCCCATATTTTTCTGTCTACTTAAAGGTGAACTATTATGTCAAACCAATATGTAGTAGTTATTAAAACACCAAGGCCAAAATGATTGTTATCACAAAAACACTTTCATCCTTCATTTTCAAATATTATGTCGATATCTGAGGAACAGCTTGAGCTATAGAGAAACAATTTCAAGAACTAACTAATAACCGAGATCTTGTTCCTCATCAACATGGATTTTAATAAGGCATATTGGGTCCAGTATGGTTATTTCCATGTCGTAGTTACTGCCAAGCGATGACAAATTCCTTCTACTCATACTAACACACATAGAACAGACGAATGCTTCCATCATTATTTTGTCAATATGTTACTCCCCTCCCCCCCCCCCTCTCCCCCCCCAGATCAACCCAGAAATGTTCAGTCTTATATAACATCCAAAAAAAAAATATCTCATTTTCGAAACATTTTTGCGAATACAATACTTCGTCGTCGCACATAGGAGTGGTAAGTCAGTTTGCAGATATGGATCACTGGAAAACTATAATTCTAAACAAAGTTAAAAATTTCACAATTTGTATTTTGTGGATTTTGTACGTGCACAAAATAAACTTAACATAAAGGCTGCACTGCTGACAAATCTCACTCACCTGAGTTTACTTAAACTGAGCTCTGGCAACAAGAACGCGTAATAAATTGAGCAAACTGAAGTAAGATTGTGTATCATATAAAACTAATGCAGCTATAATTATGTGTCTTTGATAATAGATTTTTAACAAATAAAAAAATACAAATAAAATCGCCCACGCCTTTCTTAAACTGTTTGTGGAAAAGGAATGTTTTGGTTCACATACTAGATGCGTACTTGCTTTTTTTCTTATTTTTTAAAACTTCAAAAATAAAAGATTCGCAGTCATCTTCCTTCAAGTATGTTTTGACGTGATCTGTATAGAAGGAAAGCTGAATATTCGTTTTTGCATTCGCGAATGTCGGCAGTGGATGTTTGCATCTGCATTCGCGAAAATTGACATTCGCTACCATCCCTATTAAGTAATGTGCAGACATTTTGATCGCAACCATTGATTTATTATATAGACCTTGTATGGAACCTTGTTCATTGCAAGCTCGTTCGATAGAGCTTAATAAAACTCAAAGAATGCAATAAAGAATAATGTTTTATAAGCGATAAGAAATAAAACAAACGGTTATATAATAATTTGTTTGTATCCAGTAAATAAGAAACAATAACTGTTTATTTGTTATAGTAGCATTCCATGGTTTGAGCACCCTATATGATGCTTAGATTATTGAGTATAATATTTCATTTTTATTGTATGCTATTCCTTCTCTTTTTATTATGTTATACATTTATTCCATGATGACTTGAGGATAAAAGGATTTGGATCCCCATTTATCGCGACATGGATCGCCACTGAGTGGGCCAGTTTGACACACAAAATGATTAAGTTCAGAACAACTGGTTTGTACCCAGCTGATTTTGCGACTATCATAAAATATTTTGACACAGGAGTTTGAGTCATCACGAACTCTAGAAGAGGACCAAACATCATTGGTTGTCTGCCAGTTTGTGTACTTCATATATTTCCCTGATGACATCCATACCCATTCATTTTTATTTGAACTTGAGATTGTATCGAGAGATTTAGCGGACGTCAGGAAATACGTATCATCTGCAATATCTGAAAAAGAAAAAATGGCGTCAAGTAAGTTGACACTGTACTTTCCGCGCTACGCTGTCGTCACTTCATAGAGTATTATGATTAGCACAAGTTAGTCCTTCTGAGAATCAAGTTAGCTACGAACATGTATAACAAAAAATTGGCCTTACTCCTCCCCCTGAGAGGAATTGCAGCCTTCATCATGCACAGTGTAGCCCACTGTAGCGCGTAAGCGATTGCCGACTGTTGCACGTATCAACACCCGGCTATAGGAGATTATTTCTTAGTAAATGCACGGGGACATCTATGATGGGTGAAATATGCCTAATATGTGCGTAGAATTATTGGGGTTGGAGGAGGCGTATGGATATATCAACGTTAAGAAATACCGCAACCCCAACCCCCAATTTTTAACTCTTTTACCGAAAATTAGCACGATCGTCAACAAAACGCTGTTTGTTTGACCAGTTTTTATTTTTTTGTCATTATCTAAATGTTTCGCGATGATTACAATACTTTCCCATCATTAGGCGTGGTAAGTAAAATTATTAACATCAGTTGTAAAAAATTAAAGTTCAATATCTTCTTAATACGTCCATGCTATAGTCAGCTGCTTAAATATCACGTCCAATTTTTAACATATCGTGGGGCAAAGCAAGTACAATGTATCCCATATGATTCATGGACAGTTAACGCGTTAAGAAGCTCAATATATCGTAAAAGTTAGCAGGAAGTGGTATTGCCCTGGGTTGAGGAAATCAGGTATATGAATATTTTATGAAAAAATTCTATAACAGGTTGTTCTTGTACCTGTAATATTCGGGTGAGACAAAGGTAACATAGAAAACTGTAATACGCAGGGCGAATCAGAAAGTCATGGCAGTCTTTCTGAAATAGAAAGTAGGTCAGAAAATAACAAAAAAGGTACTTATAGACATGGTTCCAAATATGCCTCTTTACCGAAATACAAGCTGTTACGGTCTTAATTTCAAAACGGAAAAAAATTATATCTTCCAAATGCGTTAAGATATTGACTTAAAATTGCGTACATGAAATAGTAATAGCGAACCCAACAATTTCCGTGCCTGAGACTACACCAGTCGGGTAGAAATTGGGAAATTTCGATTCCTACAGAAGAAGAATGGAAATTATTTTCTACGCAACTGACTTTTTTGAAAAATCTAATGCATTTTCAAATAAGGTATTCCATTTATAAATTTGCAACACCCCATATCTTGGTAATAGGACGTTTCAGATCATTGTCAAAGTAACCGTGATTTTGCCCCCTAGAATCGGAACATTCAGGTGGGGATATTCAAATGGGATACCTTGTATAGCCTGAATATAGACAAAACCATAATCATCTAAATTCTTACCAAGGTTAGAAAAAGCATCAACCAAAGACTTCTCCATATCTCGAGATGTGACGGATAGGAGCTCTAGTCCGTGATATTTGCAGAAGAAAAACGCTTGAAAATAATCAGCCTAAAAAAGAAAAGTCAAATTTACTACAACAGTAGTGTAATCTATACTAAGACAACTGACACTGGTGAAACAAGAGTCACGAAAAGTACCCGAAAATAATTGACATCAATTTGTTTTTGCGTACTCCATCTAATCCAATTTTGAGCAACCATTTTTTTGACAGACTCTATTACCTAATAATGATAACGTATATTTGTCATTTTGAGTCCATGACGACATACTCTGGTATCTATAATCACTTAGCATACCTTCATTATTCTTTCAACATAATATCCAATTCCACTGGAACAGTACACAGGTAAGTCTTCTGCATTAGTTGATGGAGTAGGTGTTGGAGTAGGTGTTGTACTTGTAGTAGCTGGTGTTGTATTTGGAGTAGCTGGTGTTGTATTTGGAGTAGCTGGTGTTGTATTTGGAGTAGCTGGTGTTGTATTTGGAGTAGCTGGTGTTGTATTTGGAATAGCTGATGTTGTATTTGGACGAACTGTTGTTGCTAAAAGTAATGCATGAGTTCATAATAAAAGTTTGGTTCAGGAAAGTATAGGCGGGCATCTACTAAACTTGTAATTTTTGTGATAGGAATATTTTGGTTGACGTAGGTTCCTCTTTTAGATAATCGCTAATTCTTCTGATATTTCTCATTGTTAGCAGTGTCATCGATTAACGTATTGTATCTAAAGATATCCCACCTAATACTGCAAGGGTAGAATTTTGTACATGGATCTCAAGGAAGTTTAACCACGACAATGGCTTTACTTCGTTAATATTATTTTCGGACGGAGCAGGATTTGGACTCGCATAATCTTTACATTTATGCAGACGAAAATCCTCATGCAATAATAGTACAAGTACAATTTAAAATTAATTTATGGGCAGGAATAGTTGGACAATATTTAATAGGACCCGTTCAGTTACCACCTAGACTAAATGGCCAAAAGTATTTACAATTTCTTGAAGAACAATTTCCCACTCTGCTGGAAGATCTTCCATTACAAACACTCATGAATATGTGGTTTTGTGCACGACGGCGCTCTTCCTTATTGTAGTATATTAGTTAGAGAGCCCTAAATAGCGTTTATCAAGACCAGTGGATAGGCCGATCAGGACATGTATCGTGACCGGCGAGATTACCAGATTTAAATCTTATGGATTTCTTCTTCTCGGGTGATTTAAAACGACGCGTTTACGATACGCCAGTGGAAACTGTAGATGATCTTCGACAAAGAATTTTCCTCCATAGCCAGGAAATGAAAAATACCATCCAAATGCTTTGGAGAGTGCAGCAAGGATTAGTTCGTCGAGCTTGAGAGTGTGTTAGGTAAGGTGGTGCTCATTTTGAACAATTTTTGTAATTATAATTTCCGTTTATTAGTTTTGTTGCCATCCTCATTTGTTGTTGTTAAAAACCATAGCAACGCTACTCAGATATTATTCAAAGCAACTTGATTATTATGTTTTAAAAATGTTTTATCATCATGGTACAAATAATGCATTCGAGCTTTTAAAAACAAATATCTCGAAAACTATTAGCTTTAGACACTTCTAGCAAATAAACCTTTTTTGTTGTGGAAATACGAGAAAATAAGATTTTTTGGTCAGTTGTTGTATACAGGGTAGCAGAAAAAAGTTATGATAAATTATTTACCGAAATAGTGCTGTAAGTCGCGTCCTCTAGAAGTTTGGCCGTAAAAAATAATGGATTCTTGTTTTTCATACTAGAAAACTTCCATATACCGAGTTTTATGCCAAAATCTGAAATACTTCTCAAGCAATAAGGAAAAATAGAAAATAAAGTTGTAATTTTAACACCCTGTTTATCGCAAACTATCAACTTCTGGACTAAGGTATGTTTAGGTCAATTCACATATTCTGGTCTGTAGTATCTTCAGTTTTGAGATTTCGCAACCTTTCGTATATAAGCACATAGCGACAACGCCATCTACGAGACCCTAACTGAAATTAGATTTCTAATTATTTCATCTCAGTTGAATAATTTTGTGGGCGCGCTAATGTAGTATTAGGGTGGCTATATTCAGGTAGAATACGTTAATCAATGTCAATGCCTAGAATGAGATATATCAGAGGAACTAACGTTCATTTAAAAAAGGAACCAACGACATTGATTAACGTATTCTACCTGTGTACAGCCTAAATACTATATTCCAACAACAATAAAGGTTATGTAGGCACCATGATACTATTTCTCGAGAAGGTATGCTCACTTCCTGACCGAATTTCATACCCCTTTCCGTATGGCGTCATTCAGTGCCAAATAAGTGTTGCGCTTGTAAGTATGAAATTCATAGTATTAGATTTAGAGATATTCATTTGCCTAACATTTTTTTGTGTTATCCATTTTACATGATAGTTTTAGTATTATATAGAATGTTTTATTTATACGAGTATTTTGATGTGTTGCCAATCCAATTTACTGAAGTATATCATTATAGAAAGAATACTCGTACATTGCCACTATAAAGTTATAAATTTGGAAAAATTAACAATAGACAAGTTGAAAACTTCTAATTAACTTGAGTCTTAGTGATTGAAGATACGTAGATGTATCATTTCTAACTGAAATTTCTTTAGAGCTCTAAATAATGGGACTTAATTTTTATTGAAACAAATTGGTTTTAAATAATACATTTGTGCATTAGTGACTTATACTAGTCTGTTATACTAAATTTTTATACAGAAGAAGGATGGAGAACAGGATACAGATTATATTACATCTTTATGATTTTGTACAAAGTGTTATGGGTAAATGTTTTTTTTATCTTTTCTATGGGTAGGTGTTAATAGAACAGTTTTCATCATTTTTTCAACACAATTCTGGATTTTTCTATAGCTATATTTAACATCCAGCTTTTAAAATATATTTTACATCTAAAAAAAAATATGCTTGGCATCTGCACTTACACTGGCTGGCGCGGGTAAATCCATTAACGATTATAAATAATTTTTGGTCAATTTTATTGGCCTGCCTTGAAATTTTTTGAAATATGGTCGAGCTCATTCCATTTAATTGGAAAATCTGGATTTTGATTTCAGCAAGCCACGTTCGAAAAGATGGTTTACCCAGGAACATGACATTTCATTGCTGTCTGGAATATAACCCAGATTTCTTTACCTATAATTTTTTTGCAATAAACTTGTTAAATTTTATAAACCATCCCAGTCTTGATTAATCAATTTTGTGACCTTTATATTCAGTCTTTTTTCCATTCGTATATTATGAGAAGTCTACGTCTTTGGTGATTCTATCAAATGAAGGAAAGGTATTGCATCACTTTCCAACATCCATTTGTTTTGAGATAATCGCAAAGCTTTTCTTTTAAATACATAGTTAGATAATTATTTTCCACAAAATGCTTGGAACGTATTCTTGAGGTTTGTTTATTAAATTTCTGTTGCTAATAACACTTCAGAACCCACTGTTATCAAACTTCTTTGTTCTCTGGAAAACTGAAAAAACTCCAATTTGAAAGATCTTTGCTTTTCTTGTTGTTGATGCTTGAAAAACCCACCACTGCATAATACACCATAGTTAAATGCTTAATTGACTGTATTATCGTTATTCGACTTATTTTAAATACACCGGATAACACACTAACGAAACTAATAACAAATTACGCGCTAAAGCTTCATATAAATCTGTACGTTCGTCAACCGTATCTGAGGATTATTGTCACCGAGTGACGACGCGCGTGCGGGTAAGTTGGACTGATCGCATGCGCGCGGGTGTATCTTCTCCGGTAATAGTATCATGGGTAGGCACTAAAACTAAAACTTTCAAAGTAGATTTCTAATTATTGCGGAGACGAGAAAGGTAGCTGTGACAAATTCTCACAGATGATGCCATGGTATTTCATTTCATCTCGGATAATTTTTTGGACGCTGCAGTGTAGTATTGGATAGTTGTCTACAGGTTAGTCAATGCTGATAGACGAACGATGTAACGGAATTTAACCAACATTCGGAATTTGGATCATTTTGATCCGCATACAGACATCTTGTATCAGAAGTCCTAAATGCTGGCACATACTCATGCTACAGCTGAATTTTAATTGTACAGTCTTAAATCTTCATACAAGATCTAGATAACGCATATAATAATAATAGTGTCTTTATTAATCCCTCCACACTTCGAGGCGAAGTTTAGCCAGCTGGCTACTCTACCACTTAACCTCACAGCGCAGGAACACATACAAAAGGAAAAACATAACAATGAATAGCAATCGACTAAATAATATATACAATAATTAAGCTTAAATAGATTAATCTTAATATGTTGTACATCTATTCCACATAGCCCGCTCTAACAAAAAAACAACAAAGACAAAAAAAATATATATATCAGCTAGCTTGGCTAGCAGACCCCAGAAGGTGGTTCTTAACACGTTCGCTGCCGACTCGGTCTATAAGACCAAAATTGTGTTTTTTTTATTCGCCATCATGGTCCATAAGACCGAGAAGAAATTTTGCCAGCCTCGCCAACGCGGTCGATTAGACCGAGCCGAATATTCAATCCTCTTTCGCCAGCTGTTTAATTTTGCATTGGTTTAACGCTGGTAGTACACCGAGTTGGCGTCTGAGGATTGTTGGCACATATCAGTAAAGTAAAAAATTGATTGAATTTTAATATTTTGGTTATTTTATTTCTGGATATGGTAGGTTAGAGAAACAACAATAATTTACTTTATAAATCGTTTATTTTTGCAAAAATCTAGAACGAAAACCAGTAGTTTACATAATAATATACAAAAAACGTAAGAAAAACACTTATTTCTATCTAAGGAGTTTCATATCTATGAAACTTATTAAAGCATGATAAGCAGAAAAACGGTTCACCATTACAACCTTTACAATAATAACGTCCTCTAGTGAGTTTTCGTGCTTCTTTCCATCCTTTCTCGGCTCTCACTTTTTCATAGCATCTACTACAAGGTCTCCGTTTTTTATAATCACTTTTGCCCATTTCGTGCTTATGGCGTTTTCTTTTTGGAATCATCTCAACATCTGGTTGCTCTGCTAACCCATCGTCTTGCGCTTGACATAACTTGTATGTAGCAGCTTTTCGAAATTGAAGTAAGGAAATTCTGGCATTCACAGTTTCCTTATACATAATCCATGCATTGACCATTCCAGTATTCAGGATAATCTCTACGGCTAACTTACGGTACCACTTAAAGGCTCTACGCAAAGGTGTCAATGGCTTCAGGCTTCTTTACAGTTTTTTGTCTGCGGTTTGTGTTGCTATGTTTGGTAGAAAGCACTAAAACGTTGCGTTTATCATTCCAGAAAATTACTGTGACACCGTCCTGATTTTGGAGAGCGGCTATCTCTCCACATTTAAGTTTTTTGTTGACCAGGTCTTTTGGAAGGCCTCGTCTGTTTTTTCGTAATGTGCCTATCAAATATGTATGCCTATCCATCAATCTTTTTGCCACATCTATACTTGTATACCAGTTGTCTGTTACAAGAGTGCGGCCC